TATGGTTCCCTGCTATTTCAGATGGATGATTCATCTTGTAAGCAGCTGATGTAAACGTATCGATAAATACAGTACAGTACTGTAGACGTATTTTCTCTTCTTTATGATTTTTTTAATAACATTTTCTTTTCTTTAGCTTACTTTATGGTAAGAATACAGTATATAACACATGTAACATACAAAATACGTTAATTTACTATGTATGTTATTGGTAAGGCTTCCAGTCACTAGTAGGCTGTTAGTGAAGTTTTGAGGGAGTCAAAAGTTACATGCAAAGATTTTCAACTGCGTGGAGTGGGCGGTTGATGTCCCTAATATCCCTGTTGTTCAAGGTCAACTGTGTGTGTTTACGTATATATACCCATACACACACACACACATTTACATGTATGGCATCTAAAGTACATGCTACTTCCTGTTCACCAGACCCAATTACACAACTTCACCAATGTGGTGGGCCAGTGTGATGTTGTGTATAATGTCAAGACAATCTATATCTAGACCATGGCGCCTAACAAAAAGACTGACCCACCCCGAGGAAAGACTGTGCCGTGTATTGTTAGCTGTGCCTGATAAGGACAAAGCTAGGATAGCCTCCGCTATGGTGGTATCCTGTCATTCTGGCTCCTGCCAGAGCCCTGTTCTGCAACGGCATTCGCACACTATCCACCAGCTCGGAGCTGCTTGACCCTACTCATTGGCACGTTTTTTATTTCCTTGACAGATAGAGTCTTTGGGCCCTTCTAGAGAGCCGGTCTCCATTGTCATGCACTAGACCCATTTAAGCACGGCCACTCCCCGAGCCTGCCAATCCCTTCCTCCAGCGTGTCACGGCAATCCTGGCGTCTCTAGATTAACATGGGCTGTTACCTTCTCCAAGCCTCCAGGAGCCGTAACAGCAGGGTACTTGAACCAGCTTCTGAAGCCCTTGCCAGGGTGTTAAATTCTTTGTCAGCAGAGAGTTTTGACAAACTTTATATTCTGCCTGTATCCAGCACCTCCAGGATCCATTCTCAGGCACTCTCCTGATTCTTACCAGTTTGTTAGCCAGGTCCTGAGCACCTTTGCCATATAACTCCTCTTTTTACTTAGCAGGCCAGCACATCCCCAGCAAGGTGACACAAATATTTGACCCAGGGTATTAGTTGAGTAGACAGGAGGGATTACGGGGACAAATGGTGAAGAAGGTAAACATTGCTTTGCAGGGTTCCTACCTTTTCTGAGCCCTTTGCATAGCCTTCAAGCTAGGAAGGCATTGTATCTTCCAATAAGGGGGAGTGGCCCCATTCTACAAGGCCAGAGTGTTCTGAAACATCTAGGAATACAAAGTTCTTAAGAGCATTTAACAAAACACCCACATTCCAATTCTCAAGGCCATGATCCTTCCCTGATTTGGGTGTAGATTTTCCTAGACTGAGAATTCGACCTTACCTGCTCTGCCTACTTTTTAGCTGTGTCCACTCTGCAGTTCCGAAAGGGGGAAGTGCCCAGTATATCTTCCAGCTTGCACTTTGTGAATTGTTCTGGTGGAAGCACCACTTGCTCAGACGTAAAAGGACAGAGACAATACAAAATGAAAAGAGCCCTCTGGACCACAAACTTTTTGTGAGTAGGAAGTAGGCTGAAAGGCTCCTCAATTCCAAACTCAATTTTCTTACCAAAAAAAAAAAAAAAAGACTCAGAGGGTGATATAGAACCCAGAGGGCGGAGCCAAGAGCTTTAACATATGTTTAGGAAGCAGTACTGGGGGACATGTGCCCATCTGAATTTCAGAATTGTTATGGACCAATGAGTGCAAGACTCAAACTTTTTGAATGGGAATGTCTATCACAGCTACCCTGTGTCTCTCCCACCACTGTATGACTGGAGTGAGAGTGGCAGGCAACTTGCCTTTAAAGGTGCGCAGACGAAAAGGACCCTATCACTGAGGACCCTCATCTACACCTGGTGCAGATTTAGATGATGAGATCCTGGACCTCAAGCCTGGGCCTGATGCTGTAATGGGATGAGACTTCGCAGGGATTCCTGGGAGATGACTTTTGTAGGGGGGAGGATATAGATAATTTATGGCCAGAGATCAAACTGTGGCAATTTTAAAATATGGCCCAAAAATTCTTTGACATGACACTCCTTCCTTAGGATGGTGAGAAGTCATGTCTTATTACTCCTATTACCTACACTCCTAGCCCCTGTCCTTTGCAAGACGTGGTTCTTCAGTGTTTCCTTCTATTCCTGTCCAATGCATTTCTCTTTTGCTAAACTGTAGCCAGAGACCAGTTTTTGTTGCATAAAACCAAATACAGCCAGGAACTTTAAATCGTTTGAAGTCCCCTAGAAAGTCCATTGTCTCCCAAGCTAGGTCCCCCCAGATTTTGGGGGAGTCCCAATCTGGTTTTTACCCTAGTGAACTAAGTTGGATTCAGTTATCTGTGTTCCCTGCAAATCCTATTAATGACATCCTAGCTTCTACAGAGATGTCTTTACCCAAACTGGCTAGGGTAGTAGGGCGGATCTGGAGCCAGGCTACATGAGAATCACTTGTGGAATTCTTCCAGCAATGTGGACAGCCTCACCCACCAACTGAATCAGAACCTCTGAGCACTGGGGCTCAGCAAGTGGTGTGCTACCTACGCAGGTTGAAAACCTGGTCTTGACACTGACCGTCAAAGTCAGAGCATGCACTTGCTTCTATCATTTCCCTGACTTTCATGATAAAGATCTACGACTGTCAATTTAGTTACTCATTGCTTTACATGCGTAGGTACTCCTCCTATCAGCTTGTTTGAAAGCAATAACACGATTGCTTGACGCTGTTTTTGTTTATTTAATAGTTATAATGAAGGAAAAGACCCATAAGCACCTTGCATTAGCAGTTGTTTAACAGAAACAGAGACTAGTCATGATCCTGCTTAAACAAATTTATTAAAATGTCTAAGTAACAGGATAATCTTCACACCATCCTGCCTGGCCACAGTCATTGGCTCTCGACTAACTGGGTCTTAACAAATTGTATTAAACAGAAAATCCCAGCCTTAGATTTCTATCCAAGTTGTAAAAATACTCAAAAAAAAAAAAACAGAGGCCGAGTGTGGTGGCTCATGCCTGTAATCCTAGCACTCTGGGAGGCCAAAGTGGGAGGATCGCTTGAGGTCAGGAGCTCAAGACCAGCCTGAGCAAGAGCAAGACCCCGTCTCTTCCAAAAACAGAAAAATCTGCCAGGTTCCGTGGTGCACACTTGTAGTCCCAGCTACTCAGGAGGCTGAGTCAGAGGATAGCTTTAGCCCAGGAGTTTGAGGTTGCTGTGAGCTATGATGATATCACTGCACTCTACCCAGGGCAACAGGGTGAGACTCTGTCTCAAAAAAAAACAGATACAAAATGTGTGAGAGCTGGCACTGGGGCACTCTCCTTTGGCCCCATCCCAGTTCCCGCCCATGAACCAAGTGCTGCACCTTGCAGAGTGTGCAGCCTTAAGGTTGCACTGGACCTCATGTCACTGATGGGGCTGCCTGATGCTGGCCTCTGCTGGGTCTTGCTCCCTAAAGAAAATGTACGCACCTCCACGTCCAAGCGCACACAAACTGGGCTGCATTCTGGTTCCTAATCATGCCTGACATTTTCCTACACAAATATCACGACCTGATGTGATATTCCTAATCCCAGATTCTGCTTTCTCTTTCTCCCTCTGTTACCATTTAGTGAATGAGGACCTACTATTTGCCAGGCACTGTAACAGGTGTTTCATAAACATTACTATTATCCATAACCTACAAGACAGATATTATTCCCACCTCACAACTGAAAAAAGATTAAGTAAGTATCCCTTCTCCAAAGTGTGCTCGGGACCAAAAATGTTTTGGATTTTGTCTTTTTTTCATATTTTGAAATATTTGCATTATACTCTAAAATCAAAAATGCTACAATGAGCATTTCCTTTGAACATTACGTCAGTGATCAAAAAGTTTGGGATTTGGAGCATTTGGAATTTCAGATTTTTGGATTTGGGATACTCAACCTGCACTACTGAAGGTCCTGGGGCCAGCAGGGTGTGAGCTGAACTAGACACAAGTGGTGACTAAACCAGGTCATTTCTAGAAGTCACTTTACAGAGAAAAGAATCAACTTAAGGCACGCTCTATGATATTTAGATTTAATGTGAACATACTTGCATTTGAAAGTGGAAATACTGTCATTATGAGGTCTCTGAAGAGCAGAGTATCCTTTATTATTTCTACAGTTAACTCAAAGTGCTAACAGCTAAAAATGGAAGCTATTGCAAAGTTTGTATGAACAAAACCCACGAGAAAGTTATAAAAATATTTTATTTAAATGGTACAGAAAAAATTATGCACACATAAAAATGATTAAAAGTTCATGTTAGAAAATGCTAAAAACTCAATAATTTACATGACGATAAAATATAAAGTGATGGGAAAACATAGAATACTTTCATTTGGTCCTCTCACCCAACAAGACTATCATAAAAATGACATATATAGTAATTACTGAAGCTGGGTTAAAGGCACGTGACAACATAATTCCTTTATACATATTCAGTCATCCTAAACAATGAACTGCTACCCCTTATATGGAAGAGTGAACAATTTATTTAGCATATTGGGAGTGCATTATGTACCTATAATGAAACCACGACCTTCCCCAAAGATTCAAACAGATTAATGTTGCAAAATAGTTATTTCTATGTAACACAGACTTCTGAAAAATTCAATAATCATTTGAGTTTAAGAATATCCAAATGAATTACAATTTATTCTGATTTCAACAACAGATCTATAAAGTCACAATTTTTCCCAGGAAACCCCTCACTTCCTAGGTGCAAAAATCCATTGCGGCTTTTCCATTATCTGTCTGTGATGCTTTCGGCTAGGTAGATGTTTAATCATTCACTTTACATTTACACGTCCAGCTAGGCACACTGGCACGCGCCTGTGGTCCCAGCTACTCAGGAGACTGAGGAAGGAGTTTAAGGCCAGCCTGGGCAACACAGCAAGAGCACCATCTCTAAAAAAAATAAAATATGTGTCCTTAAATCTGAAAGAAAAACAGCACTTATGTCTCAAGTAAACATTCTATCTTAAGCTACTGAATTTAACATTAAAAAGCACAGTTCAATCTATCTGTGACCTACAACACCCACCATCTGGCTGTCTACTGCCAATTATAAATTCATGTCAGCAATAAGTCAAAAGCTCTCAAACATCTGTAAAAATGCAAAACTGAACAGCCAAAAAAGATTTAACAACATCAGAAGGGGAGGGGTGGGTGAGAGGGTCAGATGAGAAAATGTTCAGAGATGTGAAATTACTCCAGAGCCCTGAGCTGCTGGTGGTGACACATGTGCACAGGGACAGAGCGTCTACTGAGGGCCCAGTGGCCCTAGCCTGCGCGATGCACGAAGGGTACTGCAGGCATCAATGTGGGCACAGAACTGCCAGCAACTCTTTTCAGACTGGCAACAATGAGATTATGTCCATTTCTTCTTTACACGGTTACAGTGACTGTCCTTTGAAATCCGACAGGAAACACATGCTGTTTGTCGGCTGAAATGTCAGTTTTCATTAATTTCCTGATAATTTAGTGTATGAACTTTTACTTCTCCGGGCCTCAGTTTCCATATCTGTAAATTGCTGTATAAAGTAAATTTCCTCCAAGTTCTGATGTAAGTGACATGAAGGGAGGGACTGCCTTTGTCTTTTTCATCTTGCCCCTAAGTACACACAGTGAGTATTCTCAATACAGACTTGTGTAACGGCAGCAGGCCCAGGGGTGGGGTGGTCTGTGGGGAGGCAGAAATTCGATAAATAATACCAAAAAAAAGTTGATGTGTCATCATCCACCAAATTGTTATGAGGTAGCCAGGACAGTTAGAAGATGGCAGAATTTTTTTTTCCCTGTTAGGTAAAATTGCCCATCCTTACTACGTGCCCATTCCTTAAGAAAAATCTAGCCAATAGTCACTGGATATAAACTGATGGATGCTGACTTCAACACAAAATGGTCTAATGTGTGATTTTAACCATGCTGAAAAGTACAAATCCCATCTTTATGAGGTCTTTGAAAGGCAGGTTGCCATCTCTAAAAAGTAGTCATTTAGAACTAAATTTTACAAAAGACAGGGGTGTCAGTCCCTTTTATCTCAGAGTGCAATGGATGAACAGCTCTGGTATAAACATGACTAAAATAATTTACAAGGCATCTGTTACAGCTGTGTCCACTGAAAGATGTTTTCCAAATAAGTTCACTGTGAGAAATACCATTCCTGATCTCTTACCTTCAGATCATCCAAGGAGTGAGATAAACATTACAACCCCCATAAATTGGGTAAACAACAGCAATGGAGTGAAAAATGACCACACATGCCATAAAGCAATGTTGAAGCTGAAAAGAACAAAAACCAAACAGTTGACAACTATAAATGTAATATACATAAATATTCTAGAATCTAGATTTAAAGAACTCAATTTGGGAAAATTCATCCAAGCAGCAACTTTCCATATATATCATATTTTTCAAATGTGTGACTCAGCCAATGTTGGAAAGAAAAACTCTGGATATACTTATGGAACTGTCACAATTTCTTTAAAAAGTACTTGGAACTGGAATCACTAAAGGTTTCTAATGGGAGTTGACATGGCTTAATTGAAGCTTAAGTGTCTTAAAGTTACTGTCCATAACAAAATATGAATTTAAATGGCTATACCTGCTTTTATGATCTCACATACTAAACTATCATGGTAAAAAAGACAAAAGTATTTCTCTTAAAAACGGAATGAAAAAGTAATTGTTTATAAGCTATTAAATTTTTCATTGAGAAATAGACTATGTCACTAAAGTAAAAAATAAAACACTTTCTAAGTGCAAATGATTTTTAATGACTGAAGTTGTAAGCACAAAATAGGGATAATTTAGTATGTTAACTTTTACTTCTCTCGGCCTCAGTTTCCTTATCCATCAACTGCTCTTAGTTTCCTCCAAGTTCTAGTATAAGTGACAAGGAGGGAAACACTGTCCGCATCTTTTTCACCCTGCCCCTAAGCACACAGACTACAGTCAATTAATTAAGTTTTTCAGATAGTTATTGGTTTTAATATATAATATTTTGACAAGTATGAATTTTAAATAACTATAATCCTACTGGTCTAAAAAATTAACATTTCTGAGTTGATCTTAGCCTTATGGGAAAAAGTAAAATAACACATCTGTATATCCACTTCACTGAAGGATCAACAAAAACCACATCACGATGTCAAATATCCTTGCACTTCAACTACAGAAAATAAGTCACAGAAAGCATACATTTAAACTGAATATGTATACAGGTGTGTGATATTTCCAAAGTCAAAATTCAATTAACTTAAAGAAAAAACTGAAAAGCTATACACAATATGTGAAGAGTAGTTTTTTCTGATCGACAGGATCATCGAACATGTTTCCTTTGTATTTTTCTGGAATTTACAGATTTTTCTTTAGTGAGTAATATTACTTTTATAAGCAAAAAAAATGGTTTTTTCATTGTGTACCTATTAAATTATGCAGAAAGATATTCACTGTGGTATTGTCTGAGTATAAAGATAACTAATTCCAGCAACAGGGAACTTGCTAAATAAGTCATGGTATGTCCATGTTGTGAAAATTATGTAACTGTTTAAAATAATGAGACACATCTCTATGTACCATTTTGGAAGAATTCTAAACTAATATGGTTCCATTGAAAAAGAAAAGGGAAAAAAAAAAAGATGAACAACCACTTTGGAAATCAGTTTGGCACTATTTACTGAAGTTGGAGATACACACACCCTACAACCCAACAATTTCACCTCATGTGTGTGTATGTGTATACATATACACATACATACATATACATATATACACATATATACATATACACATATATATACACAGACACACACACACATATATATATATATCCAACAGAAACATGTACACATGTCCTATAAGAGACATGTACAAGAATGTTCTTAATAGCATCCTTCATATTAATAATAACCCCAAATTGGAAACAACCTAAACACAATCAACAGTGGAACAGATAAACTGGGATTCAGTTATACAACGGAATGCTAAATAACAATGAAAACAAGTAACTGTTACGGGCGACAATATGGATGAATTATACATCATGTTACACACAGCAACCAAATGAAAAAGAATATATACTATATGAATCCATTTCTATAAAGTTAAAAAAAAATAGTGTATTTAAGGGATGCAAAAGCAAGTCATCACCATAAAGGTCAGGACAGTATCTCCCTGTGGCAGGAAAAAAGGTGTAGTGATGGAAGGGGTATGAAGGGGTGACCAGGGTACTGGCTTGGTTGTCTTTCTTGACCTGGATACAGTGTACATCAATGCTCATTTTGTAAGAATTCATTCAGCTGTACATTTTAGTTTTCTTCTACTTTTCTGCATGTATGGTATATCACAGTGAAAAGATTTAAAAAGCAAAATGCACAATATGTATAGAATGTTGCCATTTGTGTTTTAAATAACTAGATACATAAATAAAGAGATGATAATGAAAAGGGAAGCAGAGAACAGGAATGACATGAGACTCTTTTTCCTGTTACACCTTTTTTCTCTTTCAGATTTTGGACCATATACATCATTACCTGATCAAAAAAAAATGTGTTTTTCATTCCTATTAGTCATTTCAAAGTTAACTTACCAAATTCCTGCTGCAATAAACGTAGCAGTTGTAATGGGTATCAACATTGGATACTTGACATCATATTCCCCAATCCCACGATACCATTCCAGATACACTATGCAGTAAAATGCAATCAGTAAACTGACAAGCAACAAGGCACCTCCAAAGAGAAACCAACTGTGAAGACAAAAATAACGTAGGGGTTACTTACATAACCCTTAGCAAATCAGTAGATATTGTAAACATTTCATTAACAGTTTAAACATCAACTTCTAAGAAGAATATCAACTGAAGAAGGGGTACAGAGGAAAATGTTATTACAGTAACAGCCTGCAGAAAGCCTCTATCTATGGGAGATGGTGGTGAGAAAAGACGACACACGGCTCATCAAAAGATTAAAGAGTAAGACTTTGAAGAATACTTTCATAAACCAGCCAACCAAGAAAGAACCCTGGCCCGGGTGCAGTGGCTCACGCCTGTAATCCTAGCACTCTAGGAGGCCGAGGTGGGAGGATGGCTTGAGCTCAGGGGTTCAAGACCAGCCTGAGCAAGAGTGAGACCCCATCTCTACTAAAAATTGAAAAATTAGCCTGGTGTGGTGACTCGCACCTGTAGTCCCAGCTACTCGGGAGGCTGAAGCAGGAAGACCACTTGAGCCCAGGAGTTTGAGATTGCTGTGAGCTAGGCTGATACCACTGCACTCCAGCCCAGGCAACAAAGTGAGACTCTGTCCAAAAAAAAACAAAGAAGGAACCCTGGTTACAGCTATGCATTTTCTTTGAAAATACAGGAAAGACAGCAGCTTTCTGGCTGTTTCTGAGTGTGAGAGTAATAAAGAACATTCTCATCAGGTACCATTAACTCCTCCAAGTTAAGCAGAATTTCTTGGAATACTGAAAATCAATTTAAAGACAGTTAATTCAAATTCTCTCTCATGAAAGATATCTACATGAAACCCTCCCATTTTCAGAATCTCTCCTACCCTCCCCCAAAGGACAATGCCTTTTTGTTCCTCTCCAATTCCAACCACGACCTGACTCAGTGTGCGTGAGGCATCCTCCTCTAGCCTTGCATAGATTTAAAGAACCCTAATGCCTCAAGCTTCTGAACTGAGGCTAAAGCAGGGAAAACAGAAATTACTCAGGTATCAGAGGAATGAGCTGTTTTCAAAAAGCAGAAAGCCTGCATTTCCTTCTGTGCACCCCTCTCGTCCCACAGCTGCTCAAACTACCCCCTGCTTAATGAGTCCCTCACCAAGAATGCGAATTGGCTTTGAGTATGCAATTATGTTTTTTTCCTGTAGGACAATACTTTTTCGAGGATAGGCCTATGATTCTACTTCCTTCCCATTCCCCACAGCCCTGGTCCCAGCACCTGTGACTGTAACTGCATTTCCCTCTGTACCCCTTTCTCCCTGGGGCCTGATTCTCATGGGCCACCAGCCAATATTCTCACCCCCTCCCTAGTACCCCTGCACGTCATCTCTGCCACATGACAGCTGTGTGGTCCTGGGCACTCCACTTCCTACCGCAGCCGCCCCAAACATCTTATACATGGGATCATTTCTTACCCTGCCATTTCTTAAACTACTGAGAACACCTAACATAGGACACAAATAGAGAAGTTCTCCTGTGTCTTCTTAAACCTCAAAAAGGTCTCCACTCCTGAGGATGAACTGGACTAGGTACCCCTCCTAGGTTCTCCTATAACATCCTGTGCCTTTGCTTACAGAGCATGCACCACAAGGCCTGGCAACTTGTCTGCTGTGGCCTAGAAGGAGCCGTTGGAAGGCTGGAAATGTACCTACTTACCACTGGCACCCACAGCCAAACACATCTCAGGCTCTCACAAAATACTTGATGAATGAGGGAAAAGCTGATGGTGGCACTGTTTGAAGGACCCATCCCCTCTCCTCCCAGCCTGACTGAGAGAAATGAAAGCGTCACACTGATGAAGAGCAAATGTCAGCTTTATTACTGACATAGCTGCGAGAAGTGGTGACAAAGTACTTCCTAACACTGAAACCCAGAAATAGACCGACTTAGCCACTGGGTTCCATGTCACAGTGAAGACCTAGCGAACTTCTCCTGTTGGAGCTGCCCCCATAAAATGACAGCACAGCAAAGCAGACCCGAATCTGTGCTTGCTATGGGCAGCTCACTCCCTAAGGAAGAAGGCGCTGAGCTACATACGTCCAGTTCTTCATGTCACACTCAGATAAATCACACCACCTCCCAGGGAAGGAGCCAGTGAGATCAAAGGGCAGAAGATGGGAGTGTTTAGGGACAGTCCCTACTCACAGAAATCAGAAAGGAGAGGACAAGCCTTCTACCCTCAACAGTTTAAATAAACACCCTGTGCCTACTGTGCCCTGACGCTCGCTCGCTCCAGCTCCTCAGTATCCCCCCCCACCTCCAGAAGTCACTGCTCCTCCCAAAGGCCTCGAGGAGAAGCTGTGTGTCGCCATGATACCACAGCATCACAGTCCCGTCTACATCTTGCTAGCCCCTCTGGCACTTCCAAATTACTACTCTTGACCCCAAGCAAACCAGTCCTCTCCATGCCAGCTCTGACGCTCACCAACATCCCTCCTTTTTGTCAATTATCTGGGCACCTCCACATGACTGTCCAATGTGCAGTGAGGACACAGGGATATGATTCACAACCTTCTCCACATCAACTCCAGAGATCATACTGAAGACATCTCAGTCCCTGTGAATGAGGAACTATTTTACATCGGCCTGTCCACAAAGCTCTGACTCCTCTCCCTGGTGACCTTTACCTCATCTGATTCAGTCACACCCTGTAGTCACCATGCATGCTGTGACCACTCTCTGAAACAAGCCCTGGGGCCCGATTCTCCTGTGCCGCCGGCTGCCATTCCCACTCCCTCCCCAGTACCTCTGCACTTCGTCCTTATAAAGACCTCAGTCAGTCTTTCTCCCTCCATTGTGTTCCAAACAGATCAGGTCCTTCTTAAATTCACTACCTTCCTCATCCTACAACACATCTGTGCTGAAAAGGCACAGTGAAATTTTCAGTTCTCATCCACTCTGCCATGCATTCCCAGAGCAAACACACTCTTTTTCCGACTTGACTGAGGTATAATTGACAAGTTAAAATTGTGTATATTCACGGTGTACAATGAGATGACTTCATGTAAGTATGCATTAGGAAATGACTATCACAATCAACACATCCATCAGCTCACATAGAGACCATTGGTTTTGTGTATGTGAGTTTGTGTGTGTATGTGTAGCAAAGACACATAAGATAAGATCTACTCTCTTAGCAAATTTCAAGTAGACAGTACAGCATTATTAGCTATAGTCATCATGCTGCATATTAGATTCACCAAAACTTACTCATCCTTTTTTTTTTTTTTTTTTAAAGAGACAGGGTCTCACTCTGTCACCGAGGCTATGCAGTGGCATGATCATAGGTCATCACAGCCTCAAACTTCTGGGCTTAAGCAATCCTCCTGCTTCAGCCTCCCAAACAGCTAGAACTACAAGTGTGTACCACCAGGCCCAGATAATTTTTAAAACAATTTTGTAGACACGGGGTCTCACTAATGTTGCCCAGGCTGGTCTCAAACCCCTGGCATCAAGTGATCCTCCCACCTTTGCTTCCCAAAGTGCTGGGATTTACAGGCGTGAGACACCATGCCCATCCCTATTCATCTTGTAACTGAAAATTTGTACCCTTTGACCAACGTCTTTCATTCATCTGTGAATCACCAACACCTCCAACATGGGAGGTGCTGGCAGAGAGTAGGTACTTACTAAGAGTTTGAAGAATTCAACTGACAAAATATAAAATGCAAAATAAGGGTTTAACTTATAAAGCAATAAAGTTTTCTTACCTACTAGTGTGAAAGTTTTCTTTAAGGATTTTAAAGAAATCAACATAATAGGTCACAGCAATGGATGCCAAAATCCAGAATCCAGAATGGATATTAAGTCTTGGAAGAGCTTTCTGCTTTTTCTCAACAGCTGTAGAGGTTTCTGCAAAGAAGTGAGATTTCAACTTATTAGTTACCATAATTTTGTGAGGAAAAATTACACTTGTTTTAAGCCAAATAAAATCATTTCCTAGAGTGAGTCTCTCCCTTTATAGCACCAAATCCTTCTGTAAAACCATCAAGATAGGTTTATATTTAGAGAAATAATAGAAGCCCACTATAAAATGTTCAATATAGTCAACTTATTGCCTCTAAATGAATTGTGAAGTCAAATTTACATTTTCTTAGTCTTTCAGAAATAACGATGCTACTTGGAAGTGTAGGAATTTTAAGTTTCACATTTCTTCTAGAAAGTAATTAGCCCTGTTAATTAATAAAAATGCCAAAGGCAAATGTTAGAGCATGAAATGGACTTGTACTCTTTCAAGAACACTTTTTATAACTAAATAGTTATTTTAAACAAATATAACCTTTTGAGGCAGCTCAAATGTGGAAAGGGCACTCTAGAACTCTACTCTAGGTGAAATACTATGCACACGTCTTTGTGTACTGTGGTAACATTACGGGTTTTTCTGTATTTTTTTTTTTTTTTTTTTTTGAGGCAGGGTCTCGCTCTGTCACCCAGGCTGGAGTACAGTGGCCTCATCATAGCTCACTGCAACCTGGAACTCCTGGGTTGAAGCGATCCTCCAGCTTCAGCCTCCGGAGTAGCTGGGACTACAGGTGTGCACCAACACGCCCAAATAATTTTTCCTTTTTTTTTTGTAGACAGGAGGTCTCGCTCTTGCTCAGGCTGGTCTCCAACTCCTGGCCTCAAACGATCCTCCCGCCTCGGCCTCCCAAAGTGCTAGGATTACAGGCGCAACCCACCGCGCCAGGCCAAATTCTTAAACCTTATAACCGGTCGATATATTTAATTTTAATGGATAGTTCCACATAGGTGTAAAACCAGCTCTCCAAGGAATCCTGAAGCGCAGCTGAAATGAAGATGCGCAGAACTACGCTATCTCTAAGGATCTTTCATGACATTAAATACCCGACTTGCAAAACTACTTGGTAAGACTTGAAAAACGAAAACTCGGTTCCTCCTGACTGGGCTGGGGCTGCGGGAGGCCCGTGAGGCCAGCCTTTTCCGGGCACCTCGCCTCCGGGGACCACGGCGCGGCTCGGAGTACAGCCGGGGAGAGAGCCTCACCCGGCCTGGCGTCGCCCTCGCTATCCAGGGGGGACTCGGCGTCCGGCGGGAGCAAGAATCGCCTCCGGAGCTGCTCCCGAGCCTGTGAAGCGTCCATCTCGGCACCGCCCCGAAACGCGACGGAAGTGACGTCCAACACACAGCACTTCCGGCGTCGGCTCCAGGTATGGGGTCTCTTGGAGTCGCGCGTGGAGACTGCAATTTCCTTTGCGGTTTTTGTAGGCGAGAAGCTAGGGTGGAGCTGGCGCTGTAGATTCCGCACTCGAATCCGCAAGCGTGGTTTGAATTTTAAAATACTGAACTTTCCCGGTCGAACGTTTCCCAAGTTTATTCCGAGTTACGGAAGTCCAGCAGGACCAGGATTACTGCTGCCGCTGGATGCGCGCAGGGCAAGGATGTGCGGCCCTGAGCTGCTCCGTTTCCAGAGCCTTCCCAGGCTCCTGGTGGCAAAGCGTAAGAAATACTGTATATCCAGACCTCGACTCTCAGCCTCCAGCTCCGTTCCTACTCACACTTTTCAGGAGTCGCCCAGCCAGACTCAGAAGGGTTGAAGGCACCCCCAGAAGGAGAAAAGGACCGCTGGACAGGACACCGGGGCCTGTCACTTACCGCTTGGGGGCCCTTGGGCGTGAAACAAACCGGTCGGGTGTTTTCTGCGCAGCAAGGATTATATTTGTCTTGAGATTTGTTGTGGGGTTAAGTGAGGAGCACCTGCATGTGGTTCATGTGAGCCCCCTTCTCTCCACTTGTGGAAAACTGCCCCAGCCTGCACCATGGGAATTAAATTACTTTCCTCTCGAACTGCCGTTGCCCTCCGCTCACACCCATAAACCATGTGTTGCCAGTTCACAGCTTTTCTTCCATCAATAATCCTGTTTATTACTGTCCCACCTCTTCCCTACCTAGTCATGTGCTGAGAAATGTGCTTACCCACTCAAGCGTTTACAGAGCACCTACTATTTACTAGGAACTGTTAGGCACCATGCTAGGCAGTGGCACTGCACTTGAGGCGCTCCTAGTCCCAAGATGACCACAGAGACATAATACAAGACAGTGCAGTTTTTATAGGTATACGGAAGCGTTTCATTAATTCAGCCAAGAAACATTTTCTGAGCTGCTACATGCAGTAAAATGATGAGGACAGAGCTAGGTAAGAATCTAGCGGAGGCCGGCCGCGGTGGCTCAGGCCTGTAATCCTAGCACTCTGGGAGGCCGAGGCGCGTTGATCACTTGAGGCCAGGAGTCTGAGACCAGCCTGAGCAAGAGCGAGACCCCTGTCTCTACTAAAAATAGAAAGAAATTAGCCGGACAACTAAAAATATATAGAAAAAATTAGCTGGGCATGGTGGCACATGCCTGTAGTCCCAGTTACTCGGGAGGCTGAAGCAGGAGGATTGCTTCAGCCCAGGAGTTTGAGGTTGCTGTGAGCTAGGCTGATGCCACGGCACTGTAGCCCAAGCAACATGAGCCAGACTCTGTCTCAAAAAAAAAAAAGAATCTAGTGGAGAGGGCAGCTTCAACACGGTACCGTAATAGAAATACTGTACATGGGGCTATGGGAATACCAGAAAAAGGACAGTTTAAACAGGGAGAATGGTTTCTGGTGGGTTGAATAGAGGGCAGCATAGCCCAGAAAACCACACAGGAAGTAAAATTTGAATTAGTGGGCACTCTTTAAATTAAAATCTTCTATATGTCATGGGTATTTGTAAAGGGAATGTAAAAAAGTATTCAAGAGGAGTGTCAAGTTTCTACTGATTTATTTCTGCCATTTCTTCGGCCTTTCTACACCCTTTGGAGCAAAGAATTTAACAGCTGGATGGATCATATAGCTTTTCTAAACAATGTCTCCCTTTTCCTGTTTTTTTTTTTTTTTTCCTTTTTCTTTACAGACTCCCAAAGAACTGGGATTCATTTCTTCAAAGCCAGCTGGGGTCTTCGCCCTCCCTCCTTCTCTCTCATACTGGGTTAGAAGCCTTATTAACAGGAAGTGAATTCATTCCATCAAATACAGTCTTCTGCTGATTGTATCCTCAAAAACGGGGTCTCCCAGTGCAGGGTCTCCTTGTAACTGAATATTTCCAAGAGTATTGCAGCAATTCCACAATTCCGGGGTTTCCATGTGTGGTATGTTCAGGTTGGATCAGGTTTCCCCTTTGGTGGTTTCAGGGCCTTTGTATGTATTTGGATCTGAAATCCTTCCAGCGTTTCTTTTTCTCTGATATTTTAAATGGCACTACTTGTACACCATGCTGATAATACTTTAAAGCAGGCTGGAAAAATTCCGATCTTTAATGACCACATCTTCATTGCTGGAGTCCATTAAATAAGTTCCTCAATGTCTACTGTGGTGTCCTAATTATAGGTATATGATATCAGATTGCTACCAATGAAGAAATTTCCATTTTCAATGTGGATTACTTATAGGGAAAAAATGAATTTGACTGTGACCTTTGTTGCCCTCCCCTTAGCAGCAAGGTGTTTATATAGTCTATTGAATCCTGGCTCCATGACTGCGGGTCCTTGGGAAAGTTATTTCATTGTTCTAAGTATCAATTTCCTCATCTGTGAAACAGGAGATACCAGATAGATGTATACAGATGGTTAGCTTAGTGCCTGGCATATACAGTATGCATTCAGACAGTGGTAGTTAACTATTCACTACTCCTTAGTTTCCAGGCCTTCAAGATCTGGCACCTGCTCAACTCTTTTTTTTTTTTTTTTTTTTGAGGCAGAGTCTCACTCTGTTGCCCGGGCTACAGTGAGTGCTGTGGCATCAGCCTAGCTCACAGCAACCTCAAATTCCTGGGCTCAAGTGATCCTACTGCCTCAGCCTCCCGAGTAGCTGGGACTACAGGCATGCGCCACCATGCCCGGCTAATTTTTCTATGTACTTTTAGTTGTCCAATTAATTTCTTTCTATCCTTAGTAGAGACGGTGTCTCGCTCTTGCTCAGGCTGGTTTCGAACTCCTGAGCTCAAACAATCTGTCTGCCTCGGCCTCCCGGAGTGCTAGGCATACAGGCATGAGCCACCGCGCCCGGCCCCTGCTCAACTCTTGATCAGTATTCCTTTGTCCTTGGGCTCCAGTACTCTTTGTTCCTGTCTCTCTTCCAAGAATTATCAAGCTTTATTGCAATTTTTCTTTTGCCTTTCTTTTGTGCTTTCCTCAGTTGATTGGGGAAAACAACCATGTCTTAGTGACTCCCCAGTGCCTTGCAGACACCACGCACATAGCAGGAACTCCATTACCCATTCTTCAGTCTTTAATCACAGCTAATTGGTCTTCATTCGGACGTACATGTGTCTGCCTAGCATCCCTTCCTCTGAGAAACCACTTTTCCTCCTATCCAGAGTGGTCCTCCTCAGTTCTCAGGATGCTAACCCTGTCCTGGGGGAGGGCATATTTACCTAAACCATACCTCTCAGTTCTCGGGGCTTAAGCTGGGGCCATTGCGAAGATCTTCCCTGTTGCTTTGGAATGGTGAGCTGTGAGGTCAATGTGGGTTTGGGGCTGCCATTCTGGAAACACATAGGGGAGCCCACCTAGGAAGGAAGCTCCGAGAGGCAAGCTAAGAGGTCTTGGTAGCATTGTTCCAACTCCTGGATGCAGCCAGACCCCAACTAACCCAGTTAAGAACCTGAGCTCTGGAGCCAGCTGCCTGGCTGGCTGTCATCACTGGCTGCTTCAACTTTGGGCAAGCTTCTTATCCTCTCTTTGCCTTAGTTTCCTTACTTGCAAAATGAGGTTAAGAATAGTGCTTACCCCACAGTATTAGGTAAAGATAAAAAGTATTAATACATGCAAAGTGCTTAGAACAGTGCCTGGCCTATAGAAAGCTCTCAATAAATCTTAGCTGTTGTTATTATCCATTGCTAAGACTTCACAGATCTTTTAATTTTCCTTTTTTTTAATTTGAGTTGTTTCCTGTTACTTGCAACCCCAAGAGCAGACCAGTGCAGGCCTGTCATTGTGCCACATAGCCACCTTCTTGGTCCCCAGCTGTTCTGTAAGTGCCTTACAAATGAGTTAATAAAGTGTAAAGCTATTAGAAAAACATCTGGATATAGAAAGTACTCAGTAAATGCTAATATGTATCACTTTGAATACTGCCTTTCATTCCAAGAAGAAAGCTAATTGAAAAAAAAAAAGAAGATTCTTGGCCAGACAGGGTGGCTCAGACCTGTAATCCCAGAACTTTAGGAGGCCAAGGCAGGAGGATCACTTGAGGCCAGGAGTTTGAGACCAGTCTGAGCACGAGCAAAACCCTGTCTCTACAGAAAATAGAAAAATTAACCAGGCATGGTGGTGCATACCTGTAGTCCCAGCTACTCGGGAGGCTGAGGCAGGAGGATCGCTTGAGCTCAGAAGCTTGAAGTTGCAGTGAGCTATGACGATGTCACTGCACTCCAGTAGCCTGGCCAATAGAGTAAGACCCTGTCTCAAAAAAAAAAGATTCTCTCACTCATTGTATTAAAATGCAATGAATTTGTTCCTTTTTCTACATAGCTCTGATTATTTCCGTAATCAAAAAGCTATAGCATTGGCATTGCTATGTCAAAGATATGAACATTTTAAGGCTTTTGATCAATATTTTCAAACAAGCTCCAGAAAGGGTTTACCATAGTACAGTTGACCCTTGATCAACTTGAGGGTTAGTGGCATCAACCCCTTGCATAGTTGAAATCCTCATATAACTTTTGAGTCCCCCAAAATTTGTTAATGGCCCACTGTTGACCAGAAGCCTTATCAATAACATAAACAATCAGTTAATACATATTTTGTATGTTATATGTATTATATACTGTATTCTTACAATAAGCTAAAGAAAATGTTATTAATAAAATCATAAGAGAAAATATATTTACTATTCATTAAATGGAAGTGGATCATCATAAAGGTCTTCATCCCCATCATCTTCATATTGAGTTAGCTGGAGGAGGAGGAAGAGGAAGAGGAAGAGTTGGTCTTGCTGTTTCTGGTGGGAGAGGTGGTCTGCGTATAAGTGGACCCATGCGTGGAAACCTGTGTTGTTGTAGTCAACTGTACTTCACATTCCCACCAGCAGTGGGCAGGAGAAGCCATCTTCAACTTTTGCACCAACAATGGGCTGTTTATCAT